GAGGGGGGTGAATAGGCGATTTTTATGAAAGTCTTCAAAATACGAGGTCTTGAAGACAAACAGTAGAAATAAGCCTATTGATATGCAGCGGAAGGAAGACTACACTAGACAAGCCATAGTCAAGAATGCAATAAAGTGAAAGCACGAAGACTGTCAGCAACTAGGTAGAATGGATCATGATGGAAGATAGTATGAAGCCAAACAGTAAACAGTCTTCACTTAGTGAAGTCAATTAGATCAGACAAGCAGGCAATGAATTCACGAAGACAAACTGTAAAGTAAAGGGAAGTGGGAGATAGAACCAGTTGCTTGGTGAAGACAGAGATTTGGTAGACCAGTTCCAGTTGTTTTGACAACTGTACGTCTCGTTAGAGAGGCTGAGATTTAACTCAGAAGACCGTGTCTTCACCTTATTTCCTTGAGCTAAGGACACCCATTCCTCGCCCAATCACTCTGGTAAGTCTTCAAGGTAGACTTCCAAACCTTCACATACTTGGTTCACTGGCAATCCACAATGGCTCCTGGATGCTCAGAACGCGACGCCTAACCGATTGGAGGATTCACAGTCCTCAAGTGTAACAAGTCTTCAGGTCACACGGACAGAAAGACTTCAGTGATGCCTAACACTCTTTGGCTCTGGGTGTTTTGGGCTTTGTCCTCGCAAGGATCTCTCTCTCTCAAATGCTTCGGAGGTGGGTTTCTCTCAAACGACAAAAGCCGTGCACTAACTCTGAGCAGCCACCAATTTATGGTGTAAAGGGTGGGCTATTTATAGCCCAGAGGCAACCCGACATGATATGTCCGAATGACCCTGGGTCACTAAGGAACCGACATGTGTCCAACGGTCGGATTTCAAACACATGCGGCAGCTTGACTTGGGCTACAAGTAAAGCCGACTCATCCAACTCTGGATAAGATTTTCTCTCATTGTCTTCACTCGAAGACATAGGATTTTGGTTGAGCATCACTTCAGTCACTCTGACTTTGTTCACTTGGACCCCACTTAACAGTACGGTGGTTCCTATGACCCAACAAAGAAGAAAAGGAAACTACGAAACAACTATGTCTTCGCACTCCATAGTCTTCACATGAATGTCTTCTCACGTCATAATCTTCACTGTGAATGTCTTCACAGACCACCATTGTCTTCAATGTCTTCACACACTTTTAGGGGTCATCTCTGGTTCATAAACCGAATCAATAAGGGACTACTACCTGTGTTATCCTATAATTCTCACAAACACATTAGTCCTTCAACCAAGTTTGTTATCAATACTCCAAAACCAACTAGGGGTGGCACTAGATGCACTTACAGATTGCATGTTTGTTTAGCGTGGGGTGATGCTCTAGCCAATGTTGCTTTAACTTTTTTTTTGCAAAAAGATCAGATCTATTACAAAGATTCACTGGAAGTACAAAACATCTCAAGCATAATAAAAATTACATTGAGGTCCATGGACCACCTAATGACCATTGTCGTCGCCAGAACGAGCCGACGACGCGCCATTGTCGGCACTCCCATATCAAAGCCGGCCCGACCTTGTCGATGACAGCCAGGAAGTCTTCGTGCACGCGCCCCTAAGGACCAGCGTCCAGAACCGCAGTCGTTGCCGTTGAATCCTTGAATCAATCTGAAGAATTTGATACCAAATATCGCCGCTGCATACGCACTGCGAGAAACCCTAACCTCACCGCCCCAAGGAGCTGGCAGGAATCTACGCCGGAGCTCCGTCTAGTCTGTCCCAGCGGAAGAACATGAGGAGGATCAGAGCCCGAAATACTGACTCGAAGAATAAGTGCCGCCATCCGTCCAAACACCGCCCCTGAGAGAACTAAACCCCTACCTATCTACTAGCCGGTGACGAGGAACTAGAAATCCCCTCCCCGCCACCGGCCGCCTGAGTGTTAGGAGGAGGGGAGGCAAATTCACGGGCTCGCTAGCGGGGATCGAGGGGAGGAAGGCTTTCCCTAGTCGCCTGGCGAGAGGGGAAAGAAAAGCAATCTCACGTTGTATCTTCTTTAATGCTTCAACGACTTATTGATCTCGTCTCAAGGGATGTTCTGCATAGGTGATGCTCTAACCGATGTTAGTTAAATGATTTATATATCTCGTCTGTGAGTGGCTATTGCGGTATTCAAAACTTGATATGACGAGGGTGTTTGCAGGTGTCGCCTTACTTTATTGTTCTCTTGTGGGCACTGTACAATCAGAGGAAAAATATGCTCTTCAATGTAATTCTTGTTTTTATTGGTTGTTCAAAAATGCGTCTAATTTATCCATTGTACTGGCCTTTTGCTTTCCTCGATATTAATCAGATTTAAGATGCCTTTGGGTGTTTTTATTAAAAATAATATCATACATAACATTGCTAAAATAGCGGCATTGCACATGTCTTAAGTAGGCCGCTGCTTGCATATTTTCGTCCAAGGATGCTTCGAACACGTCACTTGCTTGCTCGCAAGACTAATTGGTTTGATGTCAAATGTTAGCATGTCAAAGTCACTTGCTTGCTTGCAAGGCTAATTAGTTTGATACCAAAAATTGGCATGTCAAATTTTGGCAACGGCCAAAGCCACTTGCTTGTTTGCAAGACTAATTAGTTTGATGCCAAAAGTTGACATGTCAAATTTTAGCAACTGTCAAATGTTGGCTAAAGATGGTTGCACATCAATTATCGCTGCCAATCTCACAAAAGGTTGTCAAATGTTGGCAACTTTTAATTTTACCAGTTATTGGCTTGCCAAATGTTGGCAATGCCAAATGTTTGACCAAGGATGCTTCGAACACGCCATTTACAAAGAGGTTAACCCTAAACCGTCAAGATTCAGAACCAACGATAACATGTCTCTCCAAATATATGGGCTGGCAGTGCAATCTGCATTCTGCAAGACAAAAGAAAAACGAGAACCATGTGGTGGTGACCCATACCATACAACCAAATGCGCAAAAGGGCGACAAATATTTGGTCCAGCAACGATACAAAGTTCCCAGTTATCAATGTTTATGGTCCCTGGATTATATCCTGAACAAGCGCGGCAAACCGAAAACAAAGCAAAGATAGCGCTATCAACGCTTTACAGAATTTATTCTTCCATCTCTGGACATCTATAAACACAAATGTCCCCCGGATGCGTCCAAGATGGGGTCACCTTCAGGCAGGCGAAGATCGCTCCTAGTTAGTTCCCTCGGCCTTCTGTCAGGATGAAGAGATGTGTTAGTAACAGCGCAGACTAATGTTGCAGTGATAAGAGTGCAAAAGGCAGCGCAAATCGCATATATATAAAGGGCAGCAATTACTTAGAAACTGGTAAACTGCATTACTCTACAAGAAGCATGGCATGCCCATAAATCAAGGGAAAATCTGAGCATTTTGCTTTTCTTACATCAAAAGGGCCAAAGCCCTGCTCCATTTCATTGAAATGAAACATCATATAGTAAGTGGTCGTCAAAATCTGCCAAACAATGCTCCACATTTGGAGGAATCCACACATTATGCTAAAAGGGTGTTTGCGACATAAATCAGATTTGATACACTAGAACACGATTAAGAACTTGTTTTAGCAAATGACGTGAACCTTTCCCAAACAAACATAATTGGATTGCCTTTTCTTTTCAGAATTATGTAAATAGATGGATATTAAGAATCAATATTACCTGAATTCCAGGAAAAAGGAAGATTTCATGGTATTTCAAACACATTGATGCTGATGAATTGATTAGAAAAGGTTTTACTCGGAAAAAATTGTGTTGCTTTCGTCAGATTATAGTGTGCACGGTAAACCATTCCCAAATAAACACAATTGGACTGTTTCCCCTTTTCCAGGATTATGTAAATAGATGGACATTAAGAACCAATATTTTCTGATTATAGCGGGAAGAAAAGACTTCACAGTATTTCAAACACATCGATGTATTGATTAGAAATAGTTTTACTCAGAAAAAATAGAGTGTTGCTTTCATCAGACTATAGTGTGTACGACGGTGTATCAACATGTACTTAGCCAAATCATATCACAGCTGAACTCAAAATAGATAATCATCAATGCTTCACTTGAGCACACAATGTCTTTCAGCTCAAACACTTCATTGACCTTTCCATCTACTCTATCACAAAGTTAACCATTAAACAAGCCGTTCCCATGATGCAACCATCTTTGTAGGTAACACATGATCAAAACATTCACATACCCTCCATAACAAAACTTGGAAGGTATTCTTGCCAAAAGCTGGTAACATTCCTAAACACTTTTCTCAGGGATGGAGGAGTTCCCGCACCTTCTAGCCACATCGACTTGGCATCTACCATTCAGAGAGCAAGTGGTTTGACACTTGGCACTTGTAATATTACAGAATTGCAATAACTTCAAATGACCCACGCAGCTGCAGTTACCCCAAATGTATGGGTAGCAGAAAGTGCATACATAGTACTCTTTTTATTTATGTTAGTATTCCTAAGCCATTGAGAGTCTACGCAATAAACTGTAACCTAGAGGGCAGTGTCGTATACCTTGCCGTCGGCGCCGGACTTAGCCTTGTCGGCCGCATCCTTCTCCTGTTCGAGCTTTTTCTTGAGCTTCTCCTGCCTCTCCCTCTCCATCTTCTGCTCCCAACCGCAAAATCAAAACGAAACACCACCATGTTACAGATGAGTATCAGATCGGACGACGAAGGATTAAGGGCATGTGTTAAATAGGGCTTTGGGTGGGGTGCGACCGACCTGGATGTAGACGTTCTCCTTGGCGCGCTCCTCCTCGCTGAGCACGCGCCCCTTCCCGTCACTCAGAAGGCGCCGCGTCCCGCTGGCTACCACCGCCGGGGACCGGAGGCGCGCGGGGAGCGAGGTCAGCGCGCATCTCATCGCCATTTTGGTCGCACTCTCTCGAGCTCTCGCGAATCTGTCGGGTCTTTGGGCCTTTGGGGTATCTCGGTGTTGGGTGGGGTTGTTGGTGCATCTCTGAGTCGATGATAGTCTTCACAGTTTATTATCGTTCCATCATTTTTAACTGTTTTTTTTCACTGGTTTTTTAGTCCCCTCCCCACCCCACAGGCAGCAAAAAAACACCCGAAAAGAAAACACTCCCATCGATCCCCTTCCAATCGATCCCTTTGTCGCCGCCCTCGCACTCGCGTCAAGCGCCCTCGATCCCTGCGCTACCTCCCTTCGCCGCCGCTGCCACAGATCCCTTCCCCGCTTCAGGAGCCGCCGATGATCCCTTCCAGGAGCCACGGGTATCTTCTCTCTCGGGACGCTGCTCCGACACGATCCGGTAAGGAGACAGGCCTCCGTGTGCGGCAACGAAGGCGGCGAGTGGCGGGCGACGGCCGACCCTTCACTCCGCCTCCGGCCCTCTCGGCCTCTCCTCCGCAAGTCCGCCTTCACCCACATGCGCCCTCCACGGCTCCACGGCTGACGGCTCCAGTGCTCCACTCCCGGCAGTATGGCACTGCCTTCGTCGCTGCAGTGGACTGCGTAGCCGTCAGACTTCGTCGCTGCAGTGGACTACATCGATCCAACCATCCCTCATACATCTACTGATCTACAAGCATCAGCTATCCACTCTGTTTTTAAACAAATCTGATTTTTTTTGTAAATTACCACTGCCACTGATTGCTAGAAGGAGTAGAACTCCATACGTGACATTAGATTCGGCACCAGCTTCTAACCCGGTGTATTACTAATAGAATTTGTTCACGGGATCGCATTCTGAGCATGAGCTTGCCATGCTTTTTCTCTGTTTCCGGCGTTGCCAGTTTACATGTGGTCCTCCTATATCAGCCCGGTAGTTTCAGCAACGCGATATATATGTGGCCTCTTCGCCCACTTGAAATGGTAGTACATCTATATGTTTTGGCAGGCATCTATTTTGTATGCTTGATTAAAAATGAGTTTTGAGTATACATTGTTTTGAGTATACATTGTACGTAGTGGAAGGAGCCGGCGCTGGAGCTGCGCGCTCCTGGACGGGGACGGCGGCCTGGACATGCTCCAGGAGATGTTCGTCGTGTCGAGCATCCTACCCATTGGCAGCCAGAGATCCTCGACGGTTCCGTGTGGCCTTAACCGTCGCTAGGCTCCCTGCACGCATGCCCCAACTCTTCTACCTCCTCTCAGGTATATGTTATGTCTTCTTTCCTTTATTTTTCTCTTTTGTGGTACTTCCGACGGCTGTTGGTATGTGTGTCGGTAGCTGCATAAGGATGGGATTGCAGGTTAGGATGTAATTTTTCTGTTAAAGTGACACTCCATGGTATGTTTGCTTTGAGAAATTTGTTCCTATTTTTCTTCTTCTACATGTAGAGCACAGTTTACACATGTTTCCTTTCTTAAATCAATCTACTCCTGAAACTTTATATTGATATGGCCTTGGTGGTCTCTAGTTTTGGTAATTAATCTGAAGGTCTACCTTTCTGATTTTAATTACTTATGTGTGTATAGATGCCCATCTTTTCACAACGTGTTGTTCTTGCAGGCATGATGTTATATCAATGAAAACCTTGCAAGGTAAAATGATGGTCCTGAATGGGTTAGACACATATACTGCATCAATGGAAACAAAGGCGACACCTCTCTCTATTGTGCTTCTATCTGTTCTGTGGATCAATTCAAAATGTTGATCGTTATGGGTCGATAAAAAATGTCCAAAATCTGATGTGTGGTGATCAGCTGGTCAAAAAAGTGACGGTGTGTGACGATCGGACGACCGGATAATCGGACGTCTTCTTCTTCAAGCTCCCAGCATGTCGTACTCTCCATCTCTTGTCTCTTTCGCACGGCGGGGCAGAGGGAGTTGATTGAGGACCGCATCGTTGGCGACCCAGTTATCTTCTTCTCCACTATCTCGGTCATGCACCCTTTGTCTAATATGCAATGACACATGGCATTGACAGGTGCAAGCACGTGGCAGCGACTACGATGCACATTAGGCTACTGTTCTTCTACCGGTACGCAGCGGCCGTGTGCCGCCGCCGAGCTCTTCATTGGCGTCCTCCTGGTACACCATCATGCAGCACCAAGGTTAAAAAAAGCGCCATATTGTTGGTCCCTTTCAATTGAAATATTCCTTTTATATGATCAGGTCATAAGTATGTGATCTGCAAGGTTTATATAAAAAAGGATTTCCAATTATGATAAGTTGTAGCTTATTGATCCCAACTGTTAGACCATGTGTGCTCACTGATTTCCCCATCTGAATGTCCGTACACCGAAACAAACGTAGCAGTCGTATGCCAACTGCTTGTCGAGTTGCATCATTAGCCTAAGCAGATAGCCATCTTGCATATTGTTTGCCCCAATAATATTTCTCATTTTTGCTGATGCATCTTTTGCCCCCATTGGAGTTATGGTTATCTTCTTACATGGTTAACATGTCAATTTTGTAAACAAGGAACCATTCATAACCAGCAATCTTGATTAGCTTATGCCCGTTGTCTCGTATCAATTTTGAGTCTTAGTTTGTTCACCATCATCAATAAGTGGGACCTTTCATTTCTTCACAAATGTCGGCGAACTCACCAAATCGTTCAACTCATCAACTCACAAAATGCACGACCATCAAGCAAGCTAGCACATGCTATTTAACTAAAGAAAAGTCAGTCTGTAATGTGACTAGAAATTAGATTACAGAGGGAAGTTTGCAAATCACTAGCTCTGAAAGCATAAAATATATTTCAATTTCTAGGCCGCTACATAATTTGAAACATGAGCTTTTTTAAAAGTGAGTGTTTGACGTAGCTTGTTGTTATTGTTAAACTGAAATAGCGAGTATATGTTGCTTTTTGTTTAGGGAAGTGAAAAAACCAAGCTGCCGTTTGTATGCTAGGAATGGCATATGTGAACGACTCGGGTGGCAGTTTTTAGGGTAGTGGCAGGGGGAATTTTTTACAAACTGCCATGACAGTTCTTTAATTTTACTATAATTTTTTGAGAAACTGCCATCCACAGGATCTTGATTGTGTAGTTTCAGGGAGCCCCGTCGCATTCTCATTGAATTTTGTTCAGATATAAATTTGTCTGTTACCAACAATACATTGAATTATAATTATACTATTGCAGGAACAAATGTCATGTGAAGCAAATAATTTCCTTAGAAAAAAAGTAAGCTCCGTTTGCACTATTAATTAGGTTCCTGATTTATTTTGCTTCACAAGAGAAATGGTGTTGGGGAACGCGGTATTTCAAAAAATTTACCTACGATCACGCAAGATCTATCTAGAAGATGCATAGCAAAGAGAGGGGAGGGTGTGTCTACATACCCTCGTAGACCGAAAGCGGTCGCGTTTAGTAACGCGGTTGATGTAGTCAAACGTCTTCTTGATCCAACTGATCCAAGTACCGAACGCACGGCACCTCCGCAATCAGCACACGTTCAGCTCGATGATGTCCCTCGAACTCTTGATCTAGTTGAGGTCGAAGGAGAGTTTCGTCAGCACGACGGCGTGGTGACGGTGATGATGAAGTTACTGACGCATGGCTTCGCCTAAGCACTACAACGATATGACCAAGGTGTATAACTGTGGAGGGGGGCACCGCACACGGCAAAAAGATCAACTTGTGTGTCTTTGGGGTCCCCCCTCCCCACATATATAAAGGGGGGAGGAGGATGTCGGCCAAGGTGTGACGCGCCAAGGGTGGGAGTCCTACTTGGACTCCCGGTCCAAG